TTGCCATTCAAAGGACTGTCTACATTCGGGTCGACAGACTGACGCGCGGGCGCTGCATCATCTATTGCAGCAGCAGCAGCAGCTGCTGCTGCTGCTGCTGCTGCTGCCTCCCGGTGCTTCTGGGGACCCGCAAGCAGCAACAGCTCCACAAATGCTGACTGCAACATCGGCAACAGAGCCAATATCAAATCAAAAAGAACCTGCTGGTGCTGCTGCTGCTGCTGCATGTCTTCGTTCTGCTGCTGCTGCTGCTGTTGCTCCTGCTGCTGCTCCTGCTGCTGCTCCCCATTGGGAAGGTGCATTGCTGCAGGCAGTGCTTCGCGGCCACTGCAACAACAGGAACAACGTTTGTCCATGCAGCTGCTGCAACTGCTGCACGTGCTGTGCTGCTGCTGTATCTGCTGCTGCAGCAGCAGCAGCAACTTGAAAGCGCGGCTGAAGTTCCCCAGCCGCAGGCTTGCGGCTAAGCCTCGCGCCCAGGTGGCTGTACAGAACCGGTGCTGCTCTTGCTGCTGCTTTTGCTGCTGCTTGTGTTGCTGTTCTTGCTGCTGCTGCAGCAACTGCTGCTGCATGTTCGTTACCAAGGTCAAAACAGCCCCAGTGTTGCTGCTAGCAGTGCTAACTGCAGCAGCACCAGTTGCTGCAGCTAGCAGCAGCCTACAAGCTAGAGTATACAGCAGCAGCTGACGGTGGCTTGCTGCAGCAGCAGCACCGGCATGTGCTGCTTCTGTTTGTGTTGGTACTGCTGCTGCTGCTGCTGCCGACCGCTGCAGCAATTGTTCTAATGCTGCACAGCAAACAGTAGCCTCTGAGGTATCAGCTGCTGCTGCTGCTGCTGCAAGGTTCTGCAGCAGCAACTGCAGCAGGAACCTATCTGCCTCTGTCCGCTCGTATCTGGCGGAAGCAGCAGAGTCATCAGCTGCAGCTGCTGCGGCAGCACCAGCAGGAGATGTAGCTGTTGATGCAGCAGCAGCAGCAGCAGCGGCAGCAGCTGGAGCATCAACGTGCACTGCAGAAGCAGATGCTTCTGACGACGGCGTAGAGGCAGCAGGAGAGGTGTCTGCTTCTGCTGCATCTCCTCTTCCTGCTTCTGCAGCTTCTGATTCTGCTGCTGCTGCTGCTGCTGCCCCTATAGGTTCCGCTTCTGCTGCTGCTGCTTCTGCTGCTGCTGCTCCTGCTGCTGCTGCTTCTGCTGCTGATGCTTCTGTCGCTGGTGCTGCTGCGGCTGCTGCTGCTTCTACTTCTGGTGCTTGTGCTTCTGCTGCTTCTGCTGCTGCTGGGTTTGCTGGTGCTGCTTCTGCTTCCGCCGC